GAATGCTCTTTGATTGTAGGTGAACTATAAATCCCAGTAACTACAACTCCCTAATGTCAAGGTCTATTTCCCCCAAACTCCATCTGTGTTCTTATTTAGGCATATGGAGAATTCTTGTCAAGTTTGGTCTAGATCCTTCATTGTTTGAGTCCACAGTGCTCTCTGAGTGTAAGTGAACTACAACTCCAAAATTCAAGATCACTGCACACCCAACCCTTCTAGTATTTTCTGTTGGTCATGGGAGTCCTGTGTGCCAAGTTTGGTTCAATTCCATCATTGGCGGAGTTCAGAATGCTCTTTGATTGTAGGTGAACTATAAATCCCAGCAACTACAACTCCCAAATGACAAAATCATTTTTGAGTGATGGTCACTCTAGGTGTCTTGTGGCCAAATTTGGTGGCAATTCATCCAGTTGTTTTGAATTATGATGTCACGCAAAATGAACAGAGCTTATATATATTGTGTCTCATCCTATCTCCCTGATAGGGACTCAAAGTGACCATCTTCAATCATCATCATCATCATCATCATCATCATCATCATGGCCACTTAGCCTGTAGTTGCAGAGACTTGTAGATATGCAGTGTCCTCGTTGTAGGTATGGACTGCACATGATATACAGATATTATACACATGAGCCAGGAGAGCTGCCTTCTCCATCAGAATCAATGATGGCTATAAAACGCTAGTTGGAATTGCAGTGACACAATGAAGAAAAACAACCTTGCGTGGCGAGCCCGGGCTCCGAGGCCGGGGAGTTAAGTTGCGGCTGAAGTGAGTTGGCGACTACGCAGATGGCAGGACAAATCGGCATCATTGTGGGCAGCACAGGGAGGAAAGTAGGTCAGAATGGAGGATTAGGAAACAGGAGAGAAGGAAGGAGAGGCAGAATAAAAAAAAGATGCGAGGGTATTTTGGGTGGAGGAATCGTGAAACGCCAAAAAGCAGTACACAAAGTGAAATCACTCCAGTTTTCCATCTATATCAGGCATGGACCAGCTTCAGTCCTCCAGGTGTTTTGGACTTCAACTCCCACAATTCCTAACAGCCTGGAGGCTCTTTGGAATTGTGGGAGTTGAAGTCCAAAATACCTGGAAGGCCAGAGTTTGCCCATATCTGAGCTATATATCCATCAATTTGAAGGTTAGACTTCAGCACCTTGGTTAGCACCTGTAGATCCAGAGAAAACTCTCTATTCCAATGGTTCTCAATCTTCCTAATGTTGCCACCCCTTAATACAGCTCTTCATGTTGTGGTGACCACCCAACCATAAAATTATTTTGTTGCTTCTTCACAACTGTAATTTTGCTACTGTTATGAATCGTAATGTAAATATCTGATATGAAGAATGTATTTTCGTTCACTGGACCAAATTTGGCACCAATACCCAATATGCCCAAATTTGAATATTGGTGAGGTTGGGGGGGATTGATCTTGTCATTGGAGACTTGTAGTTACTGAGATTTATAGTTCACCTATAAATTCATTCACACTTGCCTCAAGCAGACAAGAGTTCTACTCACTTACTTACTTACTTACTTACTTACTTAGGCGATCCCTCATTGTCCGAGTAGGATAATCCTCCAGGGTGGGTCCGTAGGTGACTATGGAGCCATATTCTTGATCTGCATGTTCCCCCACAGTGAGGGCATTGGTTTCCATGTGGAAGGTGGTCTCGGTCGGGGTTGGCTTGACACGCCTTCCTCTTGGCACGTTTCTCTCTTTCGCCCTCCATTCATGCCTCTTCAAATTCTGCAGCACTGCTGGTCACAGCTGACCTCCAGCTGGAGCAATCACGGGCCAGGGCTTCCCAATTCTCAGTGTCTATGCCAGAGATTTTAAGGTTGGCTTTGAGCCCATCTTTAAATCTCTTTTCCTGCCCGCCAACATTCTATTTTCTGCTCTTGAGTTCGGAATAGAGCAACCATAGTTTTAGGCAAACTAGGCAAGTGGGGTTTATATATCTGTTGACTGTCCAGGGTGGGAGAAAGAACTCTTGTCTGCTTGAGGTAATTGCAAACACAAGCAGAGAAGAGTTCTTTCTCCCACCCTGGACATTCCACAGAGATATAAACCCCACTTGCCTAGTTTCCAACAGACCTCACAACCTCTGAGGATGCCTGCCATAGATGTGGGCTAAATACCAGGAGAGAATGCTTCTGAAACATTGCCATACAGCCTGGAAAACACACAGCAACCCAAAGTTCTTCATTTTAGGAAAAGTGCATTGATTGGGGGATCTTATGATCACCTTCAGCCAAAAACAACTGGAAGGTACACAACAGACTCTGGTCAGGACTAGGATAAAATTTAGATCAGTGTTTCTTAACCTGGGGGTTGGGACCCCTGGGGGGGTCATGAAGGTGTGTCAGAGGGGTCCCCCAAAACCATCAGAAAACACAGTACTTTCGGTTAATCCTGGGTGTTCTCTGTGGGGTTCAGAATGCTCAGTGTGACTGACACAACAAGTATGAGCTTAAGTCAGAGTTTCTCAACCTGGGGGTTGGGAAGCCTGGGGGGGGGGATCACAAGAGGGTGTCAGAGGGGTCGCCAAAGACCATCAGATAACACTGTTGGTCATGAGGGCTCTGTGTGGGAAGTTTGGCCCAATTCTATCATTGTTGGGGTTTAGAATGCTGTTTGATTGTAGGTGAACTATAAATCCCAGCAACTACAACTCCCAAATCTCAAGGTCTATTTCCCCCAAACTCCACCAGTATTCACATTTATTTATTATTGAGTATTCATGCCAAGTTTGGTCCAGATCTATCATTGTTTGAGTCCACAGTGCTCTCTGGATATAGGTGAACTACAACCCCAAAACTCAAGGTCAATGCCCACCAAACCCTTCCAGTATTTTCTGTCGGTCATGGGAGTTCTGTGTGCCAAGTTTGGTTGAATTCAATCATTGGTGGAGTGCAGAATGCTCTTTGATGGTACATGAACGATAAATCCCAGGAACTACAACTCCCACACAGCAAAATCATTCCCGCTCCCAAACCCCACCAGTATTCAAATTGGGGCATATTGGGTATTTGTGCCAAATTTGGTCCAGTGAATAAAAATACATCCTGCATATCGGATATTTACATTATAATTCAAAACAGTAGCAAATTTACAATGTGAAGTAGCATCAAAAAAATATTATGGTTGGGAGTCACCACAACATAAGGAACTGTATTGAGGGGTCATGACATTACGAAGGGTGAGAAACACTGATGTAGATAAATATAATTTATTCTGTGGGTTTACTCTAATCAGAAAACAGTCATTGAGATCTAATAGGTTGAGTGGACTATTTATTTATTTATTGTGTCAGGAGCAACCAGACCATTGTATTACATTTTTAACAAAACAAACAAACAAACAGACAGACAAAACACAAAGTTTGCAAGCTTGGTAGTTGATTAAATGTCCTTTGACCAGTATCTGACCACTTGGAGTGCCTCTGGTGTTGCTGCAAGAAGGTCCTCCATTGTGCATGTGGCAGGGCTCAGGTTGCATTGCAGCAGGTGGTCAGTAGTTTGCTCTTCTCCACACTCGCATGTCGTGGATTCCACTTTGTAGCCCCATTTCTTAAGGTTGGCTCTGCATCTCGTGGTGCCAGAGCGCAGTCTGTTCAACGCCTTCCAAGTCGCCCAGTTTTCTGTGTGCCCAGGAGGGAGTCTCTCATTTGGTATCAGCCATTGATTGAGGTTCTGGGTTTGAGCCTGCCACTTTTGGACTCTCGCTTGCTGAGGTGTTCCAGCGAGTGTCTCTGTAGATCTTAGACAACTATTTATTGATTTAAGTCGTTGACGTGCTGGCTGATACCCAAACAGGGGATGAGCTGGAGATGTCTCTGCCTTGGTCCTTTCACTATTGGCTGCTACTTCCCGGCGGATGTCAGGTGGTGCAATACCGGCTAAGCAGTGTAATTTCTCCAGTGGTGTAGGGCGCAGACACCCTGTGATAATGCGGCATGTCTCATTAAGAGCCACATCCACTGTTTTAGCGTGGTGAGATGTGTTCCACACTGGGCATGCTTACTCAGCAGCAGAGTAGCATAGCGCAAGGGCAGATGTCTTCACTGTGTCTGGTTGTGATCCCCAGGTTGTGCCAGTCAGCTTTCATATGATGTTGTTTCTAGCGCCCACTTTTTGCTTGATGTTCAGGCAGTGCTTCTTGTAGGTCAGAGCATGGTCCAGAGTGACTCCCAGGTATTTGGGTGTGCTGCAATGCTCCAGTGGGATTCCTTCCCAGGTAATCCTCAGAGCTCAGGATGCTTGTCTGTTCTTGAGATGAAAAGCACATGTCTGTGTTTTAGATGGATTGGGGATCAGCTGGTTTTCCCTATAATAGGCAGTAAGAGCATCTAGAGCTTCGGAGAGCTTCTGTTCAACCATCTCAAAGCTCCCTGCTGAGTGGTAATGGCACGATCATCACATGAGTGGACTAAGATGCTAAGAGATTAGATTCATAATAGTAGCAAAAATCCATTTCTGAAATTTTATGGTTGGGGGGGTCACCGCAACATGAGGAACTATATTAAGGGTTCACGGCATTAGGACGGTTGAGAACCACTGGTTTACATCTTTGTTTGTGTGTGTGTTGTGGAGAAGGAGGAATCCCAGCTCCATCCACTCTCATTCATTAAAGAGTGCAGACTGGCACAATGGATTGAGAAATATATTTGGGGACTGGTCCTCAAAATGCAAGACCTTGACTCCGCCAGCACTTTGGCTCCTGTTTATTTCCTTCTGCAAAGCAAAGAAACTCCCTCTCCATAGGGAACCAACAATTGTTCTTGCTCTCTGTGTGTTTGTGTTTGTGTGCTTTGCCAGGGTCTCCTCTCTCTTGCCTTTCCATCACTCTGTCTTTCCTCCCAACAAAGAAATCTGCCTTGGAGAGGGAAGCTGCCCCCAGTTTGCAACCCAACCCTCTGCTTCTTCTTCCTCCTCTTCCTCCTCCTCTTCAGATCTAAATCTGGGGGTGGGAAAGAAGGCAGGCAGCCGGGAAAGAGGGGGGGGGGGGTGGACTTTCCTCATGCCACCGCATCTTGGCAGCAGGCAGAGAGAGATGCTCGCAGGAGAGAGCACTGGATGGAAGAGGAGGAAGGCAAACACTGAGCCAGAAGCAGCAGCAGATCTGACAGGGGCTGTGCTTTGCTCCTTGCCCCTCCTTGCTATGGGTACCAGCTCCAGCTGAAGGCAAGCATCTGGCATTGACCAGGGCAACTGAGGACTGTTCTCTTCTCTCAAGTCCTGGGAGGAGAAGAGGGGCAAAAGCACCCCTCTCAATGCACCCTTGGCACCACTGAGAAGTGGGAGAGAGACCACATGAGGAGGTCTTCCTGACTGCCATCTGGGGACACAGAGGAACTTTCCCCTCCCACTCATCCCTCTTCCCACTAAAGTGGGCATCGCAGGAAGAGACAGAGAGATGGGCACCTTTCCCCAAAGGATGTGGTCTGCATCGGTCTGGAGGGCAGCGAGCAAATGGTCACCGAGGGGACGCTGGCAGTGAGTGAGCGGTAAGTGCCTCTCTTTCTGGACTTTGCCCAAAAGACCCTTTGAGAACAGGCTGGGATCCCATCTCAATAATAATAATAATAATAATAATAATAATAATAATAATAATAATAATAATAATAGAAGAAGAACCAGCTGGGATCCCATCTCAATAGTAATAATAATAATAATAATAATAATAATAATAATAATAATAATAGAAGAAGAAGAACAGTCCTAGATGCTTGGGAAGTGTTCGACTTGTGATTTTGTGATACGAAATACAGC